ATACACATGTATGGCAGCCAAATTCCACCCTCACAAACAATTTTAATAGATATAGCAAGATTTTTTTCATTTAAAGAAAAATGTGCTTGTAGACATACACTCAGTATCTATTATTGGTTTTTATCATTATTATCCAATTTACTACAATACAACTTCCATATTTTTCAGTCCATAGCACATATGACAATTCTCCTAAAATTTCTGTTCTTGAAAATATTTGTGAGCAGGAAATTTACATGCAAATTAGGATTTCTTTACCTCAACATCATCATAGTGTGGAGGTAGGCCTTGGGATCCAGGAGGAGTGATGTAAACATTAGATCCAACCAATGAGCCAAAGTAACATTCCAGTTTTTCTTGTATCCTCCAGAGTTCATCCTTATTTTAATACAAAAGAAATTACTTTAACAAGGGAAAATCAACTATCTTTTCTCATACAAATCTCTATTGATATCAGTGTTGCATTCTACTATTCTAAATATGGTAAGNTGCTTGTTTCCGTTACAACAGTGGTGGGTTTCAAAAAATTTTGGAACCTGTTCTGTAGGTGTGGCCTGCTTTCCGGGTCCACTGGTGGAACCTCTTCTAACTGGTTCGGTAGATTTGACGAATTGGTTCTACCGAATAGATGTGAACCGATAGGAACCCACCTCTGCGTTACAAGCACTAACAACTAACAAACCATGATACACAAACCCTCTGACTTTAGTGCAAGCTCTCAATGGATTTCTCTTCTCTCTGATTTCTTTAGTCACTCTGGCCTTCATTCTGGACTGGGCCCATAAATTGTCAGAGTGCACACAGTATGACTATGTGAGATAATCCAGGAGCAAATACAGTAAAAAGTGTTGTATTTAAATAGTGGTTTTATCTACAAAATATATACAGTATATACATACATGTGCTTTAGTTAGACTTCAAACAAACAGCAATCAGCAATTACAGGACGGAAGCACACACGAAGACAGAAATATGCCCCAACAGGGTCTCTTCTTATTACAGGCTCTTAAAGTGATATCAGCTGCAAAATCTTGCTGATTCATTCCTAGCATTACATCATTGTAGCTGCTGGTCAGCTCTTAAATCACTACCCTGACACAATGCTATATGGCTCAGAACAGGAATCTACCAAGTTGGAGTGGTTTTAATACATCCACATAATCCTCATGGTGTTGTTGAGTCTGGCATCTAACTTACTAGTATGGCAATTGTAAAGCCATACAAGGGCATAGTTCTGCTGTGAAGTAGACCAATCCTAGGGCTGATGTCCTGAAGGTGGCAGCTGAAACTCCCGATTTGGTTCCACATAATTTCTGGAGTATGTTGTTTCTAGTATTAATTTTCACTGCCGTATTCTCAAGCTCTCCTGTACAATGTTACGCCAAGGTATTTTGGATGGGGATCATAGGGGAATAAGCTGTTGTTTAAGTAGATCTTTGGGGCTCCATATGCTAGTTTGTGTTAAGGTGGGAGCACATACTGTTTCCATGAAAATAAGACCTATACCAAAAATAAGCCCTAGCCTGATTTTTAAGTATGCACCTAATATAAGCACTGCACTAAAAATAAGCCCTAGTGAAGGAGGTGGGTGGGTGTGGCTAGCACAGGAGGCGGCAAGTGTCTAGCAGCAGCCACAGGCAATCAGAGGGATGGTAGGACAGAGTGGGCAGGCATGACAGATATGTAAATTACCCAAACAATTTAAACAGAAAGGGCAGAAAATAAAACACTGCAAAAGAAAAGAAACTAAAGGTGTTCTACCTCACTTCTGAGCATACCGATTCAGAAGTGTTCATAAATTGAAGATCTGAGTTGAAGTTGTACCCTCCCAACATCTGAGGAACAGATGATGAAGCTAGAGGAGAAAAGCTATCCCCCCCTCCATGGGCCAGGAACAGCCAACAACCACCCACCCAACCATGTGTTCCCTCACAAACATGGGCAGCGATCCCTCAGGCAGTCCTTAGCATGGCAGCTCCTTCCCTTCCCCAGTCACCTCATGGAAGCTTGGTCCTTCCTGCCCTGTCAGCGTGACTCCAGCAACCAGGTCTGGGATAGGGCGTGCGGTGCATCTCGGCATAGTGGCGGGATCGGCAATGTGGGTAAAGCGCCATCCCGAGCTTGGCATGGACCTGACTCATCCCCTTAATTGCGGTGCCATGGATTGCCTGATCCAGTAAAAGCTGGGAGCTGCCTCTTGTTCCATCTATCTGGGGGTGTTGGGAGCTGCCTCTTGTTCCATCTATCTGGGGGTGTTGGGAGCTGCCTCTTGTTCCATCTATCTGGGGGGGTGTCTAGTGCCAGGCAACCTCACAGCCAAGGGCCCCTATCTTCTGCAGCTCACCTTGTTGCTCTGGAGCAAGCGGAAACTATGGCCAGGCCTGGAGCTTGGATCTTGCTCAGGCTGCTGCTACTGTACTGTTGGAAGAAATGTCCTTCTGGGTTCAGCTCCAAGTGGGGAAGAAGACACTGGAGACAAGGAGGCTGCTTGGAAAGATGGTTTAATGGTAACAGGACCAAATGGCTTGAGTCCAGAACAGAAAAGGGGATCACATGCTTCAATGTTGGGTGAAAAAGAAGCGAGAGGAAGAGATGCTGAAAGTTCCTGGCTTTATACTCTCTGTTCAAACCCACCTCTCTGTTTTCTGTTCCTGCATAAGAAACGTATTCTGATTGGTTGTCAGACTTCCATGGGGCCGAGTTTGAGTTTCCAGATGCCATGTTGTGAGTTTCTCTGGAAGGCTAATCCTTCCTTTATTATGTAAAGTACACTAGCTCAGGCTTTAATGGCTCATTGGCAAAGGTGGGGGGGGGGGCAGAAAGCTGCAGGGAGCTACTCTGTCTTTAAAACATGTTTCTCCCTTTTCACATCCAGGGAAATATAATATTCTGCGTTTTCAATATTTCCTAGGATATTTCATTTTTCTAGGAGTGGGCTAGGTGCTAACTTCCTGCAGCACAATGAGGCAGGAGGCCATGCAGAGTATTGGGATCACCTGTTACCCCTCATGCCTCGGCCAACTGCTGAGTCTGCTTTCAACCCTGAAGCTGACTTGACCGAAGCCATCTTGGAAGCTTCAGTGGTCACACATGCATGCGCGGGTGGTGGGGTGAGTGCGAGGGACCATATGTGCATACGTGGGGGTAGGGTGCATGTAGGGCCAGGGCATCTGCAGGGGGCCTTGCATTGCATTTTGGGGGGTTGCTTTGGGCACGCAGTCCTGAAAAAGTTAGCCACCATTGTGCTATCTCAACTATCAGCATTTGGCAATTTTGGCAGGATGTATTTTGGAGAACGTAAAAACTAGCTAGCCTTAAATTTAGTGGGATGGAATGGAGTGAAAATTAAAAGGAAGCCTCTTTTTAAAACAGAAAGATAGGTATATTATTTAATATCTGTCTGTATGTATACATGTGCACCTAGCAAGCAGTTCTGCTATAAGTGCCAGTTCTTCCAAAACAAATTGGAAGGATTAGGCCCCGCATTTGGGGAAGGTGTTTGTTTGAGAGGAAGGAAACATTCTTTTGAACAATTAAAAGAGGACTGATTTAAAAAGCAAGGGAACAAGAACAGGAAACTAATCCTTCGGTTTCTCAAGCCATCACACTGAGTCAAATCTGAAAGTAAAGGTGCTATAGCAGTTATCTGTAAGGAAGACAAGAAAATCAAGGAGCACTACAACTTCTGCATGGAATCTTATAGTCCTTTACCTTAAATCTGTTCATTTGTTCTTCTCACAGCAATTGCATCCAGAGTGGCTTCTTCTATGATTCATGTTCCTTGAATGACTGCTACTGTTTCGCTCCAAAATTCCACAATGCTAAGTGACAGTTACATAGAAGTGACCAGTCTTTTCTGTTGTTTGGCTCAGGCAATTAACATTCTGAAAAAGCAACTTCCAATCAAAGCCAATAAAATATAACACCCAGAACCCCTTTTACCCAGAACAATATTGTATTTGGAATAGTATACAAAACAAAGAAACCCTATTTTGATTTGAATCCTTGAAATCATGCTTTGGTTAAAGCATGGACAATATAAACCATCTGTTTCATGTACCGTTTTACAAATCCCTGAATTTATTACAATATTCAAGTTTGATTTTTTAATAAAAGTCATGCCAAAACAGATATAAATGATGTGATATAGCTCAAGAACATGACAAAATATATTAGCAAAACTACATTGAAAAATATGTTAAATATGTTTATATCAGCATTAACAGAAGGCTGATATATAGGCTGTTTTCTCTGACATAGTTAGGGAAAATTAGGACAAAAGCATATTTAAATTTAAGGAAAAATTACTGTAAGGAAAATGGTTGTCTTTGATACTCTGCAGATCAAACAAGCTCTGAATAAACATCCAGCTAAATATGACATATACACAATACACATTACTGTAATCCAAAATGTGATTTATGTACCTTAGTATGTTGTTTGAGTTCAATTACTGTAATTTATTAAATAAGCAATGGTTAAGTATGCTATTGTAAGCCATGTGATTTGTTGAAGTATTGGCTTAGTAAAGTGTGTGACCCAAACCATTGTGACTTAACAATGGCTTATAGCTTGATGTGTCTTATTTAATAAAACATGCCTGAATAGTTTTAACACACTGCATAAACCAAGACCCAGCATACCACAACACAAATTAGCATGAGGTGAACCAGTCTGAATTTCCAAGACTGCATCCATTTACTGCCCATATAACTTGTTAGCGGCAAAACGGAAAGCTGAGGAGTGGAACGGGTGCGATTGCAGCACACGCTTCGCTGTATTATATACCAATATTGGGGGACGACTGTCTAAGCTGAATACGCAATCTGTGTTTTAGATGGGAATCAGTGAAGGAGCTGCTGTTCTGACCGAAAAGAAAAGAAACATGTATTTTTATTGACGTTAAAACTGTCAACTGAATGATATAAGGTGAATTTGCGGGTAAACAGAAGAGGAGACAAAACCCGCGCTAGTCTCTAAACTAGCCCTCAGCTATCGATCCCTACTACGCATGTCTCGATTGAACAGAAACAAAGGACCGTTATGCCGTCCGTTAAAGCTGTTGCCTGATGCGCATGCGTAGCTGGTTTTGTTCTAGTTAAAATGGCGGCGCCCGTGGATCTTGAGTTGAAAAAGGTAAAGAAAATCAAAATAGGGCTGGGAGTTGCCTTAAAGTAAGGGGAATTTGGAAGTTAGGGTGGTTGTCTATTATCAGAAGAGTTTATTTGGGTTTTGGTGGTTGGTGCCGCCTCTAGAGAGGGTCTTCTAGGAATTTTAGGCACTTGTGCATTAAGAATATCAGACTTCTTAATATTTAACTGATTATTCTTGGTTGATCCTTCGAGTCGAGTGCGATGCCTGGTGATTTCATAGAATATCACCAAATTATGCTTGGTGGGTTCATGTGATCCCGCTCCTCTTCCCAAGCTGGCGAGTGGTCTCTACGAACTTTTCATATCTGTTTCCCTTCCCCCAGCAATATATCTCTGGAAACATTTTATCTATGAACGGAATTATGGCAACAATTTGTTTCTTATATGATTCAATTTCTATTTAAGCTAGTGTCATTGCCTGTTGTTTGAGAATGTTTAAGAAGAATGTTTTGGAAGGAAATTATTAAAATCTTTTGGCTTTAAATTTCATTTTGTATCAAATTCTGAAAATAAAAGAAGGAAAGCATTTTTAATTCCATTTCAAAACTAGTCAAGTGCCAGTCAAATTTAAACGAGGATACTTTTTGTTTTGTATCTACACCAAACTTATAGCTGTAGACGTTTTGAGGAGGTGTTGAGATATGTTTTAACAGTCATATATAAACCAAACCAAGCTAACTTGTCCCAAAATGTAATTCTAAGAGTTTCAGTATCAAACCATGATACATTTATGATACTGGTCACCTAATGACTCTTTCAACCTGGATCAAACTCTCAAATTATTGTAATAAATTATAATACCATCTTTCTGCAGGAAAAATATAAGGTGATTATTATACTTCTGATTTCATCTGTCATTTAGGCTGCATGAAAGACAAACACATTAGTTAACTGTATTTGACTGACAAAACTTTCCATATCTTTAAATTTTAATATATCACCCAATTTGAATCTTCAGGATCTGCTTTTTTATAAGAAATAAATTAAACCATCAAAGCAAGTAAAAATCTCCACAGATTGATAAAGCTCATTGAGTCTATACATAACAGAGTCTATATGTCAGTTATAAAGGAGTTTGTAGAATGTAGAGCAAATGTACAGCAGAATGAGTATTACTCACTATTAACATGCATAATTGTTTTTACAATTATATAATGCATGGTAAATATTCTTACTAGTAAACTATATCCTAAAAACTGTGATGCAGGCGCTAGTGGGCTATTCCCATTTTTTCCACATTATCTGAATTAATCTGATTTTAAAAGTGCTATACCAGTTTACTATTTCATGATTGGAATATATTTGTGTTTCACTGCTAAGTATTATTAAAGATATATGCATATTAGTTTTCACCCAGTGTTGTTTCTGGTTTTTTAAAATATTTTTTGATGTTTGGTGCATATTTTACATGTTTCTTTAATTCATCTGATGTTTAAATATACAGTACATGCTGTTGTTGAGAGATTGCAGTAGTTGGAAAAGGAGTTCTTACAGGTGGTCCTCAACAGTTCATTTAGTGACGTTCAAAGTTACAAAGGCACTGGAAAAAAGTGACTTATGACCATTTTTCATACTTACAACTATTGCAGTATCCTCCTGGTCACATGATCATAATTCAAATGCTTGGCAAGTGACTCATATTTATAACAGTTGCAATGTCCTGGGATCATGTGATCACCTTTTGTGATTTTCTGACAAGCAAAGTAAATGAGGAAGCCAGATTCACTTTACTAATTTAATTTAACAACTGCAGTGAGTCACTTAACAACTGTGGCAAGCATGGTCATTAAAAAGGGGCAACATTTATTTAACAAGTGAGTTTTTCATTTAGCAACAGAAATTTTGGGCTCAATTGTGGTTGTAGATCAAGGACAACCTGTATAAAGAGACTAAGAGGTTTTTGTCAAGAGTGAAGACTGTCACAGATTTTTTTTAAAATTAGCTACATTTGTATTCTCCATGTCAGGCATTTTCTGAACTTCAAGCTAAGGTCATTGAAACCCAGCAAAAGGTGAAACTGGCAGATATACAAATAGATCAGCTGAACAGAACAAAAAAGCATGCACATCTTACAGACACAGAGATCATGACTCTGGCTGAAGAAACAAGGATGTATGAAGGTATAGGACGAATGTAAGTAATGGTTCTTGTTTGTCATTTATCTTATTTACATTCAATTTTCTTGTTTTCTCATTTTTTTCTGCAGCATTTATACCAAATTTGTATGATACAGCCATCCATATTGGAGTTGAGTTTAGCATGTCATCTGTACCAAGACTAGGGTTTAAACAAAGATTAACCATAATTTGTAGAATCATTTATTCTTGTTTTATTTAGTATAATCATGTTTTTGCGTATCATATGAATCTAGCATGTTTGTCTCATGGTTAAACAGTTCTTGGTCTGAACTGAAAATAAGGTGGAATATTAGATTATCTTGAGTGCTTAAAAAATGATAAGGGATTGTTTTCTTGTCTACCACGTGTGTTTACTTTGATCTTGATCAGTTACCATGCTCTTGTACATAAAAAAGGAACAGCTGACCATTAGCAAAGGTAGCTTGAGTCTTTTAGAAGGGCAAAGGCTGCTAAAAAATAGGGACTCTTAGATGGTTCCAGATAGTGATCAACATTTCTGTAATGCATTTTATGGATAAGAGTCTCTCCCATGGTTAATGTTAAACGTTTTTAATGAATGCAGCATATTTCTGATTTCTATAAGGAGACATATCTATTAACTGCTGAGACAAAGTTTCTTTGCTTAACTTTGTTTCTAATCTGGAAATTACTGTTTTACTTTTGTACACCTTCACATTACTTTTCGTCCACTGTGATAGTACTTCCGTATCTGCCAGCAATGCCCCTTGAATTCTACATAGGGCAAATTTTATAACAAAAGAATGGATGCAAATATGACATACTTTGCAAATATGGCATACCAGTCCTCAGCCAGATCACCAAGTTGGCCTTCATGAATGCCAAGAAGCAGTAGAATTCTTTTGTTCTTGGGACAACCTAGACCCGTGATGCCACAGGTGGCACACGGAGCCATTTGTGAGGGCATGGAAGGCATTGCCCTGTCAACTCCAGTGCGCCAGCTGATTTTTGGCCATTTTTTGCCCTCTGGAGTCTCTAGAGAAGTCGCCTGAAGCCTGCGGAGGAAGAAAAACAGCCCAATGGGCAACCCAGAAATCTGTTCCTGAACTTCCAGTTTGTGTGTTGGGCTGTTTTTCACCCCCCCCCCCCCAAGGCTCCTACAAAGCCTCTGGAGCCTGGGGAGGGGGAAAGTCGAACTTACTGGGCCAACCGGAAGTCAGAAAATGGGCCATTTCCGGCCTCCGGGGGGGGAATTTTTGCCCTCCCCAGGCTCCAAGAAAGCCATGTGTGCATGTGCATGTGTGGGGCAGCGGGGGGGGGGGGTTCACGCGCATGCCCAGGGAGTACAGCGTGGGGGCATTAAATTATGGGGTGGGCTTTTGGCACTCGAGGCGAGAACAAGGATCTAAGTTTTCACAATTTAATGATTTGCTATAATTGTCAAATCAGTGATAAACCCATTATGCAAAGCAAGTACTTTAAATATTTTCATATTCATTTCCAATCATCTAGTTTCTGAAGTAACCAAATAAGTAATCTCTTCTTAAGAGCACAAGAAGTAGCTTGTGACCCTACAAGATTTGCAAACTACAAAAACAATAATGCTTGTAGTCCCTGTAGCCATCAGATAATTCAAACTGAATGCTTTACATTTGCTGCTATGTGGTGTGCAATTCTGTGCAGATAACAACACTTCTACCCTGTAAGTAATTTAATCAAACTTTTTGAATTTTTGACACATTCTCTGATCCCAGGATCAGCTAGAAAGGTACTCTTTGGGAGGAGGACGATTAACCAGTGGAATAGCTTGCCTTCAGTCGTTGTGGATGCTTCATCAATGGAGATTTTTAAGAAGAGACTGGTTAATCAGTTGTCTGAAATGGTATAGGATCTCCTGTTTGAGCAGAGAACTGGACTAGAAGTCCTCCAAGGTCCCTTCTAGCTCTATTCTAATTCTGAAATTGGCTGTCTCTTTTGAGACTTGGCTGAGACTTTGCCAACTTACTATATACACATGTACAGTATGGTTGTTTACTAAATGTAGATAAATTAAAACTCAACCAAGATAACTTGTGAACTTAATCAGTGTGGGATGCTGCTGGTTTAACAACTGGTTCGGTGAGCGTGCGCTTTGTACACGTGTGTTTTGCTTGGGCACGCAGCTCTGAAAATGGAGTTCAGCTGCTTACCTTCCAAGTCAGCAATGGTAAGTAAAACAGCTGGGGGGGGGAATCAGCTGTGCCAGGCAATTGAGATGAACTAGAAAGCAGGTTTGGTTTGATTTTTCTGTCAGTAAACATTTAAGTATATATTTTTGCTCTGTAGTTACTTAGGAATTACAGAATCATAGAAATGGACTGGACTCAAACTTTGTTCTGTGCAGGAATTTAT